ATTAGAATTTAACTCGTATATATATATATATATATATATATATATATATATATATATATATGAGATATTTTTGTTTAAAGAAAATATTGTAATAAGACACAAAATTTATATATATATATACCATGTTACAAATTTTAGAAGAAGAAAAATATCAACACGAGTTTGTGGAGACGGTAAGGATTTTTTTGGTAATCGGATGTTATGGACCAAAGTCCAAACTAATCTCGAAATCGAGAGAACCATACGATTAGAATTTGTGTTATCTTCTCCAACTTGAGGCTCGTATTCGGGGCAGGACACAAGTTTTGCGTCTCCATTTCACCGGTTGAACTATCTAAATTAGATTATAAAGTTGCAAGAAAGATAACCAAGATCAATAACCTTCTACTAATTTATATTTTTTCTTTCTTTTTTGATAATGTGGAAGATCATCAGAGGAAAAGCATATAACCACAAACTTCTTCATGTTATACATGTTTCTTTCATCATGTCGGAAGGTTTTTGTCACGTTTTCGCTCTCCAATTTTTCTTTAGGGTTTCGAGAGAGAGGGAGAGTGGGAAGAGTATCTAAACTAATCCCATGAGCAACTCATCAGTCTTCTTAACTGGAAAATCAAGGGACAAAACAGCCGTCACACGTACAGGAGATGGACGTGTACGGTACGGGTTTCAGCCTTGGCTGCTGCCTCCGTTTGATATGGAACAACGCTACTATTAATTATGTCAGAATCAGAGAAAAGATCCGATTACTGTCCGTATGTCCAGAGTACACGTCATGTAGGAAAAAAGACATCTAAGAAAGTCTCGCGTTGCATTTTGTAATTGATCGAATCGTTCATAGATATGAATTATTGTCCATATACACGTATATATATATATTCTTCACCATATATCAATTCACGATCATTCGCTGAGTCGAATTTTGTCATGGACCACGATCTCGTCGCGATTTTGAGGGTGACATCTCGATGCTAGAACTAGGTTGACCGTGTCTTGACTTTACATCCCGTTGCAATCGACCTTGTAACATACCTTAGCCATCAAAAAAGAAATTATAAAAAGAAAAAGCCTTGATTTCAGTGAACGAACGGATAATGCGGTCTCTCTTGAACTGTTTATGACAAAACAAGAAGTTTGAGGACAAAATATGGACATACATACACATATGATATGTGTGTGAATTCATCATAGGTACTGACCTAGTTTACGGTAATGTGTAGCATCCGTGATTCCAGCTCGAAAGGAAAAATCTATATGAAGCCAAACCCAAGAAAAATATGTAATTTCTTCCCCACGTACGCATATATACAATACAATGTATATATGTATATAAAGGCATACGGACCTAAGTTACGGTGTTTAACGTTGATGAATCCAAACTGGGAGGAAGGAGAAATAAGAAGCAGAAACGAAGTTAGCAGAAGAGCAACATATGATCTCGCCGCCATTCTTCTTCTTCTTCTTCTTCTTCTTGGTGTCATGTTACTGAGTTTATGATGATACAGTTATACTTGGAGAGAGAGAAAACCAAAGCCACCAACTAATTTTGACGATTGCAAAGAGCTATGGAAGTGGATTTTATACTTTACCTAAACACTTTTTTTTTGGTAATTTCTTTTTGGGATTAGGTGAAAAATATTACAAATTTTTATATATTTTCATGAAATAATACCATTGGAAACTTATATCGCAGGTTAACGAGTCCACGTTTTCGTAAATACGAGTTTTAATGAAGGGGTTTTGCTTTTTTTAAAAAAAAACCCAAGAAAGATTATCAAAAGTTAGAAGTTTTTTAAATACCATACAATATTATATAATAAATTCTATCAATAAGTAATCTTGAATTTCTTAATTCCATGTTTTGGGGACAATTAAGAAATTAAATGAGACCAATTATATATATATATTCAATTGCTTTTATTGATTTTTTAAAGAGGTGTATTCAATTCGCTAATTCGTTGGATTTTAAATTCTCCAAAAAAAAGTGATCAACCGGCTTCGACCGATGGGCGGACACCGAGAGATAGATTGGGTGGCGTTTGGTGAAACGAATAAAAAAAAAGTCAAAAGGTACCTTTTTTTCCGCATTAATCCATTTGCCTTAATAACGAAGTTTGTTATTTTTAATAAATGGCCGTGGAAAATTTATGACGTACAAATATTAATAAAGAAGTTTAAAGGATTGTGGTGAAGCTACTTCATCTCCATGTCATCATCCATGTGGTATGTTCTTTAGTATTTATTGGTTGATTAAAATCTTTAATTGATTTTATAAACATTCTATATATTTATCCACATATATTATTTACAAAACTTTTATATACAATTCTTATTTATATTAAATTAATATTACATTATAATGAATTTTTTTTAACAAATAAATACTTTATAATATTTTTTACTAAGATTATATCAACAAAATATGCATTAAGATAATTACCAACAAATAATAATTCAAGCATTATTAAAATGATGACTAATAATAAAAATGTTATAAAATCTTATTGCTTTAAAAGTTAAGAAGATTTTGTTTCCAATCTCACTATTATAACGATGACTAATAATAAAAGGTTATAAAATCCTATAAAATCTTATTTCTTAAATTTATACATTGTAATAGAAACTCATAAAATGAGTATTTAAAAAGATAAAAACTGTAATTATACGATAAATTTTATAAAAATAAATAATAAATTTTAAAAACAAATAGTATTGATTAATTAAAAATATGAAAACAAAAAAGGTTTGATACGTGGTATTTATTAGTTACTAATACTCACATTTATTCTTTTTCCAATTATTATTATTATCATCTTATCATGTATTTATTGGTGTTTAATAAAAAAACAAAAAACAAAAAATATTAAAACAAAAACGCTTGACTCTAGAACTTCATTGTGTTATTTAATAAGTAAAAAATTTAAAAAAATATTAAAACAAAAACGGATAAGAATATAAAGCGTAATATTTATTAGTCCACTAAAATCACATTTATACTCACATGATGCCCCTCTTATAGACCGTTTATTCATTTTTAAATTTCAATGGCGTACAATATTAACATAAATAACTTGCAATTTGAGGAAACATTTAAAACAAATAACGTGCCAAAAAAATCCAGTTGGAGAAATTTGACTGATGAACACTTTCTAACTTTTTAATGCCTGTTGTATGAGGAATTGTTCGTATAAGCCAACCCAGAATTTTTTTTACACGCTTTTTTTATTTTTCTTCTTTCGTTGTTATAGGTGAATGACATTTTTACTATTTGTATTATATAATATTATATAAAAATTTTGGAGATAATGAATATGATATAAAAAATAAAAATATCAATAATTTATTATACTTAGAAAAAAATTATCTTTATTTAATAAAAATGAAATTGTCATTGTGATGTTGTTTTGGAATAAATTAAAATTAGAGCAAAATATTTATAACAAAATAAAACAAAAAACGTATACGTTATAGCCCACTAATGGCCACTCTTTTATTTTAAAAAATAAAACAACATAAATGTATTGTCACTATGATGTAGCTCCCTAATAACCACTCCTTTTTAAATTAATTCTAATTATGGTACTATATCGTCTTCCCACATTCCTTATTATTTATTTTTACGTTGAAATGTGATTTTTATATAACACTACCTTTTGCAATTGGCCCCTTCAAAAAACAACACACAAAAAAACCCTTTTACAATTCTTAAAAAAAACAGAGAAATATATGTATGGTTTCACCTGAGAAACATGGGAAACAGTTTAAGATGAATTATATACAACTCTATCCATGTCTCCTTATACATCAGCCGGAGCTCCCAAAATTCGACAAGGTCTACGTACTATATTCGATCCTCTTTGTTTCATCCATATTACAATATTTTTTGTTTAATGCATGTTAGAATATCACGGAAAACATTGCATCACAATGAGAGAAGCTGATTATACAACTCCTTCTCTATGCTCGAGGTAATCGATTCTTGCGTCGCTCAACAACTGGTTATTATATCTGTTATCGACTAAATGATGATGTTTGTTAATGCTTAAGGAAGCATGCAAGGAACTGAAGTCGAGCAGGTTGTTTCTTAAGCTTCTAGAAGCAGTCCTCAAGACCGAAAACCGAATGAACGTCGGGACAATTCGTGGAGGGGCGAAAAGCCCTCAAGCTCAATGCCCTCCTCACGCTTTGTGACGTCAAAGGAACGGCCGGTAAGACAACATTGCTTCACTTTTCGTCGTCTAAGAGATTTTTTGGTCGGAAAGGATATCGGGTCTCGGATAGCATCACGCGTCGGGTCATGAACCAGGGAACAAACAAGAACAGAACCGAGCAAGAGAGGGGTTGTCGAGACTGAAAACTCTTCTAGCGTGTCAGAAACCGGAGAGGACATTCGTGGGGGAGATGAGGTTTATCGTGAGGGATGGTAATGGAGAGAGCTAGGGAGGTGGCAACGTACGTATTTCCGTGGGAAAGTGAAGGAAGATGATAAAAAAATCCCTGAAGATATTCATGATCGTCACAATTTTCTGGGATGTTGGATGTTGTTTGCAGAGAGTTTCCAAGTTCTTCTTTCCAAAAAAAGACGACGTAGGGAGATTCTTTGTTCTGCAGGAATCTTTCTTTAGAATTTTTTTCTAGGTCTCTTAGATAATTTTTTTTTCAGGTATCCTTTAGATGAAAGAAAAAAAATACGGTCCTTGGATGTAAAAAGACTGTAATTTATACACACATATGTATGTGAAAGTAGATGTGCAATTTTTGTGAAGAACACTTCTACTCATCTTAATTTGAATTTGGTTAAGTGAATAATTGAACATATCCGAATCTTTTTTATCGAAATTAAACAGAATTGAATAAAAGTAACTGAAAATTACTTTAAAAACAATATTTTTATCAATAAAATTTCAATCGAACCGAAATACACTAAACCGAATGTGGTTATAATTTCTCTAAAAGCAAAATAATCGAAATTGAAGGGCATTATATCCGAACAAATCGAACCGATCTATTATTTGATTCGTATCCGAACCGAAAAATCGAAAACCTGCAATTTACGGATCGGATACGGATATTGATCTCAAGATATTTGTCGGTTACAGATCCGATACGGATATTAAAATAGAATTATCCAACATATCCGATACGATTCGTATTTTTTTAATAATATTAATAATATTTGGTTAATTTGGTAATTATTTTATATATTGGGGCCACCTTTGTAAAAAACAAAAATCTGTTAGGGTTATATGTCTATGACTATGTATAAGAATATATATATAAGTATATGTATATAATATATAATTTTGGATACGTATTTGAAAAAATTATATATGTTTATGCGTATTAATATATATATATATATATATATATATATATATATGTGTGTGTGTGTAAAAATATGTGTGTATTATATATATATGTATGTATTTATATATATGGATGTATCCATTTTGAATTTTGGGATTAGGGGGTGGGTATTTCAGTTTTCGCTTCGATTCGTATTCGATTTCTTCGGTTTAGAAAATCTATATCATTCGGTTTTATATTAGATTTGATTCGGTTCGTTTCCGGTTTGAACTCGGTTTTTAATTATAGAAATGTTTTTTTCCTATTTTTTAAAAAATGTTACAAGTTTCTCGGTTACTTTATATTCGGTTCCGATTTGGTTTTCGGCTATAAAAATATCATAATTATTCGTTCTATATCGGATTTGGATCAATTACACATGTATTATTCGGTCTATACCTAATAATGTACCATGAATTCGTCCCTTAACGGTTAAGTTTTTCGAGTTCATGGTACCAACCCGACAGAAACACAAAGTTTGATTTTTGCGGTTTTGCCAAGGAAATATCTAATAATGTGTTTTGTTCCGATAATAATTTCAACATATTAAGTTGGTTGAAATCTGCTTGGAAAAAAATCATCTTTAACGCTCTATTGTACGTTTTGTAACCATCACTTTTGGTTTTTTTCATCCAATAATTTTCAAATTCAAAAGATTAATCTTCGAAATTTAACGTTGTTTTCCCATCATAACATCTATTGATACAGAGAAAGATGCAAACCTTTTTATGGTTTGTACAACGACATTGAATTGCAAAAGAAGAATAAAATTCGTTTTTTGATATTATGTATATATATACACAAACATATATATATGTATATATATTTATTTTATATTTTTTCTTATATGGTAATAATATGCTATCGAACCAATTAAATGATTAATGACATTAGAATGAATATATTTTAAGAAAGTTCATGTATTTTTTATAAATTTTACGTTTATTTTTTTAGAATTTTTGAAAGTTAGTTATTTTTAAATTATTTTCCTTTTATAAATATAAAAATATATTATATAAAATAATCTCATCATTATATTAATTTAATTAACATTTTCTGTAACATTTATTTTATTATTATATTAAGTTAGTTAACTTCGCTATGTTATTTATTATTTCTATTTCGTAATCAAAATATTTATCTCATTTCTCCTTAATTCATGAAAAGTAGAGGAAAAAGATTATGTATTTATTATTTGTAAATATTTATTTGTTACAACGTATTCTCTAGAAGGAATTATCTAATTGCATGATTTGATATTTGTTTCAGAGTATTGGATACAAAATTCTAATTCCGTTCTTGGGATTCTGACTATAGAAATGAATTTAATGATTAAAATCTTGTGAAAAAGAGGAGTATATAGGAAAAATCTAAAAAACCCCTGAACTTTTTAATTTTGATAAAAAATACTGAACTTTTGATTATGTCAAATAAATATTAAACTTTTTAAATTTGTAAGATAAAATATTTAACCTTCTACGATTGTCAAAATGAATAAATGAGTTGATTTAATTTTATTTAAAATAAAGGGAAAATAAAATTTTTCTACACGAATTTAGCAAAATGTGATCTTTTCATACACGTATTTTTAATTTGACAAAAACTACATTTGAATTCAAAATTTCCAAATATCTATACGAATTGTTAAAATTAACAGTAATTACATGCATAATCATCATTTTCGTTAAAAAGTTTCGGATTCTATTGACTAATGAACTCAGTGTATAGTAGTTACAATAATTACCTAACTAATTCCCTAAAATAAATTATAAAGTTCAATATTTTTATGGAAAAAATATAAATAAATGAATTAATATGAAAATTTATGAGTTAAGGATTTTTGGAGGATATTTTAGAAATTCGGTATTTTTCATAGAAATTCGACCAATAATTTGAGTCACTGCAAATAGAGGAAGCGTTCATGAGGTTAAGTAAGATGGTCACAATATAGAATATACATACATATGGAAGGAATTCCCGATATGAACTTTTAATCTTGGAGGGTTATCTATAGTACAAGGTTGTATCTATCTAGGATGAAGCAAACAGTGGCAAAGGATAAAACTTTGTATTGTTTCAACATTCGTCATGTGTCCTCCTATGTTGTGTGCAGGCTGGACTATATGACCAAGAACCTGAAATATCAAAACATAAATGAAAAGTACATTGGTTTTTATTTTCCGTATTTGGTATCTTATTTTCCGTATTTGGTATCTTATCTTAAAAGAGTAGCAGAAACCTTTTTACATTGTTCTGTGGAATCCCGTATGATAGCAATGTCTACATAAAAAATACAATTTAATGTAAAAACACTTTAAGACTAAAGGAGAGAAGGAAAAAAATCAAAATGAATATTTACGTGCATGATAAGAGCATTGCGTACATTAATCCAAAATATAAATTTCTACTGATGTGTGAACTTTGACAGACCACTAAGTTGTATGACATAACAAGTTGAAAAGAAAAATCTAAGGAAATTGGATCACGAAAAAGACAGAAATAGGTTTGTGTTAGATTCGAATGCATATTCATTCACTTCATTGTTAAAACTATATACAGTTATATTAACAAACTTATTCAATATAAGAATGATTTATAATATAATAATGCAATAAAATTTAAATTATCCTCAAATATATATATATATATATATATTGATTTAATAATATAATTTTTGTAACATTTATATAAAATATTTTTTATAACGAAAGATCGAATATTTTTTATTGAAAAAATTGACTAACCCGCGATCTCTCCTATTCTTATTAAACAAACGGGTTTTTTTTATGACGTTTATGTTCTTTTCTATCGTTATTACGGTTGAAATCAGTGGCCAAAGTAAAAATAAATAAATAGTATTTAGTGACATATTAATAACAAATCTCGCTATCATGGCACGAGGGCTCTGATAAGCATTTAAATTTAGATTTGCCAAGCGACAAAAAAGAAAACACATATAATGATTTTTTCATCAAAACTCAATAAGAGCATTTAATTTTAGATTTTTTCATGCTTAGCGTGTAATATTGAATGGGATCACACACGAAAAGTATAAATGGATGCGTTAGTATTGCGGTTCAAAATAAAACTCACATATAAATCCCAACTTTATATTAATCCGAAAGTCTCTCGTGTGAACGATGGGAGGCTCCGTCAGTGTGGAGAGTGATGCCAAGCAGTTACAAGTCTCTGTAGGAACACTCAAAGCATGGCAGGGCGATTTGCTGGCACGGATACGGCTTGACGAAGAGGGAAATTATCATCTCGGACGGCTTCCAGAAGTCGTCGAATGGCTTTCAAGAGCGGAGACCGCCATACATGAGGTCGATGATCTGCTTCGCCATGTAGGCTCCGCCAGTTCCGGATCGAGGCTTCGTCGCCTGCGACAAAATTTAGCCAATATGAGCAAAGAGGTCGATAAACTCAAATCCCAAGGAAGA